ATGCATGAATGTTACGCCTTTCAATAACACAGAAACTCTGAAGTTCAAAACCTAATTAACGATCATATAGTTTTTGGCTGCCATCAAGTATACTTACTACGACAAGCAAAGAGCCTTAAACTGTAAAAAAGGAAACAAACAAATGGATCGAAATCTGCCAATCACAACCCACATATGCGACCCACAGTGTATTCAACCAGCTGAGGTTAACTTCTGTTTCCCGAGAGGTCCGTACCCCTTAGGTGACTGACGGCAGCGAAAAGCAAAACCGTTGACTGAGCATCAAGTCTTTACCTAGTCACCCAGACATTGCGGAATATTTTGTTTGAGGTTACGCATGGGCTGAAGACAAGGAGCACTGTGAAGAGTATGGCCGGATGTTACAAGCTGACCCTGATAAAGTTAGCCCTAGAGCTAAGAAAAGAGGCTTACCGCAGGTATGTGAACCTCCCTCATAGAAATGCAAAGTACTGTTTTCATCTGTTAGTACTTCTGCTATGAAAGAGATGGATTTCAGAGAGATTTTCGACATATTCTTTGCAATAGATGCTCATGAGGGAAAAAGTAACTTAGTTCCTACTGTACATGTAGGATGAGCTTGGGAAAATACCTACATACATAAAATGCAATTTATGACATATTTTTTTGATAATAGATTCCCTGGATTAGGCCTCATTCAGGGGCAACCAAAGGATCGTTTCGGTAATGTTCAGAAGGTTTTAAATCCTAGCCTCTCCGATTTTGATAAGAGAATTTTCACCTCGAACGTTCGTGATATGAGAAATCTAATACCTGTCGCTTTCGTATCGATAAAAATGTCGTTCTGGCTGCCGAATTTAGCGCAGCTTAAATTAACCAACAGAGCTCTAAAGGCAGTCCAGATAGCTTAAAACAGCTTTTTAAAAGATTCAAGAGAAAGCCGTCGTTGGGCGCCCCTATTGATTATGTAGAGCATTTTATTTTATTTTATTTGTATTTTTTTTTTTAAATTTGCAAAACACGTAATTACATACATTACTTATAATGTAGGTCTCCTACTCCAGAGACATTACAAAACTCAACTTACTATAGCTGAACAGTACTTACATCATTTACAATGCGGGTTACTAAGACACTGGCAATACAATAATCTACTTACAATTGAATACTGGCATTACTTGCAGAACATACAATGACTTACAATACTGGAACCCCGCCTTACGGCCACCTCGTTAATAGGGCCACCCCGTTATGACGGCCACTTTCTTCTGGCCGGAACAAAAGCGAAGTCAAATACATGCACTACTTCCAGAACATACAGTTACTTACAATACGTTATACGAAGTACTTATATTACTCACAGTACTGTACAGTACTCCAGGTGCAGTAGAATTATAATTGTATCGCATTTTAATTTAATTACTTTACATTCAATTGTTCTTTTTTTATATATATAACTGTTTAGCTTGGTACTCTTGGAGCTGGAAATCACTATGCAGAAATTCAAATTGTAGATGAAATATATAACACATATGCTGCAAAGAAGATGGGAGTTGATCATCGGGGTCAGGTAATCAAGGATTTGTTTTATTAACACTGAGAAAGAACTGGTTAAGATAACGAGGCGGTGCACTGTCAGTGATCAAGAAAGAGTTTCACCTTACGTTATCAATACACTGCTTAGAAAACAGGTGAGGAGAATCAAGGAAAATCATCGAGTGGGAATTCGTGTGGTGTTGATGTACGTCAGTAACTCACAGCTACTGTTGTAGTGTATCGCTGAAATTGTTACCAACAAGTATAAGTGAGTTTTACGTTGAGCTGAAAGATTTTCACAACAGCCCCCACGGTTTATGTCACTGTCAAGTCCCTTGTTTGAGTTGAACTTTTTAGTTTTTCGATAGGTCAATAGAAAATCCGAACTTGTTAGAAAAAATGTCGGTAATGTGAACATCGTCGACATAAAGACATTAAAGACATAAAGACATAAAGACATAAAGACTTGAAGGCATGAAGGCATGAAGGCATGAAGACAAAATGACAGAAAGACAGACAGACAGACAGACAATTTATTTCAACACGGTATCTCTTCAATAACGACATAACGTCTTTCTTATGTGGTTATGTCGCCAGTGTGAACAAGGTTTGGATTACCCTTCATCCCCTCTTGGAATAAGTAACAGTTTGTGTATTCAACAGGTTTGTGTGATGATCCACAGTGGCAGTAGAGGCCTTGGACATCAAGTAGCTACTGGTTAGTTAGTGAACAATAAAATGTGTATCAAAGTGGTCGTGATGTAACGTATGTTCGCAAAGCTAGTAAGATTTCAAGAGGGTTTTTATCCATACGGGAGACAAAAACCCTGAGTTAAGCCATTAGAGAGTTTAAAGGAGCCACGTCGCGGTTTGCGCATCTTGAAAAGTTTGGCCTAAATTTCTAAAGGTCGTCGTTTGTAATCCGTGTTAATCTTGTCCATCCTTAGTCATCTTTGTTCCTTTATGGGTTATTCTTAGCTCTTTGGTGTATTTCCATCGTAGGAAACTCCTATTTTCAGGTTTCCTTCAATTTAAAGCTAATTTTGTACGTGGCGAAAGTAACTCAAAATGCCGTGACTGAACTCCTTTAAAGCATCGACTGCTACGAGAGTTTGCAGAGGACAACAGTTAGTACTTAAACAAGCTTTTCCTTAAATTGGAAGCCAAAGTTGTCGATAAGCTTTGAAGATCTTGCTTAAAATTGAAATAATATCGATAACTGTTCAATTTTAAGCTAGAACTTGTTAACCTATAAAGGGTCCTCGACCAGTAATCTTTGGGTCTGTTCCAAGCCTATCGTTGTTTATTTGGTGCTGACAGCTTCTAAGTCCTTTTCGTTGTTTTGCAGATGCCCTGGTTGCAATGGAGAAAGCAATGAAAAGAGACAAAATTGACGTTAATGACAGACAGGTCTGTTTTAAAACATCCATGTTGTTTCAATTTGATACTTTTCCTCTACAGTAAATGTTTGATAACTTTCATGGACTGGAAATCCAATTGAATTTGTTTGTAGGGCATTCGGAATTTTCTCGCCATTGCATGACGCACAGCCGTCAGCTCAGCACCGATTGGATGATTTAATTTGAAATACCGTGTTGATTGGCCAAAATTTTGTTGCATGCTCGTAACTTTCGTTTTCGTTACTTATCGTTTTCTACGCGCTATTGTTTCATTTACTATGGTCGGCAATGAAATAAACGAACGATGTGATGAATAAAACAATAACCCCTTTATTTCGTCGAATTACAGCTCGCTTGTGCAAGAATCCACTCACAAGAAGGAGAAGATTATTTGAAAGGCATGGCTGCCGCGGCGAATTATGCCTGGGTGAACCGCTCAACTATGACGTTCCTGACAAGACAAGCTTTTGGAAAAGTGTTCAAGAGCACTCCAGATGATTTGGACATGCACGTGATTTATGACGTGTCACATAACATAGCCAAGATCGAGGAACATGTATCCCTCTTGCACTTGTTAAGGTTAATTAGGGTGTGTTCAAACGGGCAAATGACAAACTTTGATGAAACAAACAAACAAAATAACCTAAGGACAATGTGGAGAATACTCTGCCAACGCAGGTAAATTTATGCCTTGTGTTTATAGGACCTACGTCACAATTTGTTCATCTTGAAAACTTTAACCTAAATTTTTCAAGTTCGTTGTAATCCGTGTCAGTCTTCTCCATCCTTAACAATCGTTGTCCCTGGATGGTTCATTATTTTCCCTTAGGTGTATTTCCATCTTAGTAAACTGTTGTTTTCAAGTTTCTTTCTGAAATGAGAAAGCTGAGAAATTTCCCGAGCCTCTACTTGTAAATAATGGTATTTACAGAAATAAGGAACGCTACAATGATGATTATTTGTTAAGTTTATCTTCAGTGGACATTACACATCCCTGTTGGCTGTTTCACTAGAGCAGCTTTTGTGACAATTTCAGTCATATCCTTAACTCGCGCATAAGATGTTAGACGGGGAACAGAAGACCCTCCTTGTGCACAGAAAGGGATCAACCCGCGCATTTCCACCACATCATCCACTTATTCCGGTAGATTACCAGGTCAGCGACAGCAACAATAACGAATGATCTTACTCTCGAGTAGGGTTTAGGCATAAGAATTTTATACCGTACCTCTGAAGCTGTACGAGAAGTCGCTAAGTTTTGTTAGATCACTCAAATTCAGGAGGGCAGCAGGCGATTAACGGATCCAAAACAAACAACTGTATCAGGAATTTTGTGTTCAATTTTCTCCACCAATATTATTATTACTGGTTTATGAAAGATAAGTTAATAGTTAATTTTTCTTGTTTTCGTTCTAGACTTCGAAGTGGTTTTTTTTTTTTTTTTTTTTTTTTTTTTATGGTTTTAGTTGACTGGTCAGCCTGTACTTATCGGTGGAACCATGGGAACCTGTAGGTAAGTTGTGACGAAGTGAGCAAGCTGCTGCAATTGCTTCTGCTCCTGTTGTCACCTCCGCCGTCGCCTCTTGCTTCTCCTTTCCCTTCTGTTTTTGCTCCTTCTCCTCCTTCTCCAGCCATCGTGCTGTCTTGATCACCAAAAATCTCTTACTGAAAGAAGAGGAAAGATAAATGGCAAGCTAGGGAACTTGCTCGGCTTCTCTGTCGTGATTTTCAGTGTACTACCGGTTTTTCGTTTTCCAGTTATGTTCTGACAGGCACAGAAAAAGGAATGAAACAGACCTTTGGTACGACTTGCCACGGGGCGGTAAGTGATTTCCTTAATATTGAAACCCGCTGAAGTGGCAAGAAAAGTCTTTCTTTAGTAAAGAAGTTGTCACCTCTTCCTACATATACACCTCAACAAAGAGGGGGACTTTTATTCCTTGACTAACATAAAGGTTTTGAAAAGACTATTGTGCGAAGCGTTACGTTTAAAAGACACTTGTAAAAGTGCATCGATGGTATTTATTCAGAATTTTACCGCTTGCGCGGTTTATTTTCCAGGGAGTCGTAAGCGGCTGTTTTCCTGTAAAATAGTAACAGTATTCATTGTTAGCTATATGTAATTGACGGCTTGTTTGTAGAGCGTTATTTTCTGTGTTCTTGTAGGGAAGAGCATTGTCCAGAGCAAAGTCACGGTAAGCACTTGACAATGTGACAGATGTTTATGTATACATTATACCATTTGTAGTAGACTTGCAAAGGAGAAGAGCTTCTTATTTCCCCATTTAGTGTAATTTGTCGCTACAACTTCACATGGTTCAGGCAACCGCAAACAACTGAACCACAGTTGACAAAAATAAAGCTATGAAGCTGATCTCTTCATACAATACTTGAGATACAATCTTGCCCACCAGAGCTATTTAAGTGTTGGTATGTCTACTAGACTTAAGTAGATCTGCAAAGTTTCCATTCAGTTTTCTTTGGATTCTTATCATTGGCTATATTTTGTATTCAGGCGTAATCTTGACTATCAAGAGGTGCTTGATGCTCTTAAGTCAAAGGGAATTTCAATCAGAGTGGCTTCCCCCAAATTGGTCATGGAAGAGGTAAATACGTTTGTTTGTTTGTTTGTTTGTTTGTTTGTTTGTTTGTTTGGTTTTTTTTTTTTTTCATTAAGGGAAGTGCGGTTCTCTGTTAAGAAACGTTCCATGTGCAAAAATGTCTTCACACTCTCTGGCATTTTAGATCGACCTCTCCTGTTGTGTTTTCCTTTTAGTACTCTCTCCTTTTCAGGATACCATCCTGTTATCCACCATCTCCCCCACCNCCCCCCCCCCATATACCGTATATATAGATCCCTCCTCAAAACGCTAGTTAAATTCATGATAAATCATCAAGTTTAAGCAAAGGGAATCATAACCGTGGCGGTGTTTGAATATCTGATCTTGATCAGCAGAGATTTTTGTATTTTACTTCTCAATTTTAGTTTTGGTTGAAAAGATATATCAGCCACTCGAGGCAGTTTTTCGCAACTTTTCCAAACACCTGTTGTGCAGAAGAAAATGTGGTAAAACATGGTTTCTCGTGGTTTATATATTACTTCAAACTCGCTGCAAAAATGAGGCCGTGGTTTATACGGTTAAACGGCGATCTGATTCCCTATGATTTTGTCTTTAAATCACCAGGGCCTTGCCTAGCAAACATGCTAATTTGTGGTAATTTTTCATACCTTTCTTTTAGGCTCCAGAATCATATAAAAACGTCACCGATGTAGTTAATACCTGTGAGTCCTAGTTCTTTTTTCTTTATATTTTTTTATTTTTTTTTATTTTTTCTGGTTCGATGAAACAACTATGATATTGTTTTCATTGTAAATTAATTTTTAATTTTATGTCCATGCTGTCTCAAAGACGTTTTGCACTTTGTGTATGCCGAAGGATGCAGTCACGCCTGTATAGAGTACTTGTCATGAACTTCTACCCTCAATTAGTTCAAACCAGTGTGACTTTTTGGACGGTGTAAACTAATCGATAACACTAACAGACACACGGCTTTATGAAACTCTCTCATTCCCTCGTGCGCAGCAACTTGAACCTTAAAAACTGTTGTCTTGTCCTTGCGTTATAGAGGTTCCTTTCCGGTTCGAAGGACCAAGTTGATGCGAGAAAGATGTCTTCTTGTAGTTTTACACAAAACAGATGTATTATCATTTTTAGTCACTTTTAAACCTTTGTTGTTGCTAGATAACAACTTTTGTTTTTGTTTTTGTTTAGGTCATGATGCAGGAATCAGTCAAAAAGCGATTAAACTAAGACCAATCGCTGTTATCAAAGGATAAAACCACGAAACTGGTAGTAAATTAGTAGAGACTGCTCAACTTATTCCATAAAACCAAGGGAGAACATCCGAACTGCCTTTGTGTCCTATGCAGCTGCAATCTCGTTCCCAGAGGCCGCGATTCTTTTGGTCAGCACCAAGAAAACTGACCTGGGAGAAATCGGAATGTGAGCCAGCATGAGTCACAGCGGCTACTTTCTCTACGCGTGTTGAGAAACCGTTATTGAACTTGAACGCAGGCGCATTTTCAAACCGGAATCAGGATTTCTGGTTTCGGTTTTTGATTTCGATCAGAGCGTCTCGCGTTTGGTCACCCTGACGGAAAACGCGCGGGATCTGGGGACGAGATCGATGCAGCTATTATTTTGGCGTCACACAGTTTTCAATGAAAAGTGTGGTTTGATATCGGCGAAGGACACTACATCTCCGCGCGCATTTAACAGAGTTCCCCTGTTATGTCAAACGTGACAGGGAAGGGCAAAATTTACTGGTGTGGCATTCCATGTACAAAAAACATAACAAAATCATTAAGCATGAAGATATTCCTGTAGATCACTAAGAATATTAACACTGTAAGCACCAAAAGGTAATCAACATTTATTTCTTTTCATAATGTCAATAGACGATCATCCTCAAAGGAATTTTTTTCTTTAAATACTTACACAACTCATATTGGAAATTTATCAGCAATATTATAATAAATGATTCTATTGTTATGATTGATGATTGTTTCATTCTGTTTCCGAGATGACGTCAGAAGTCAGATATTTGAGTACTTCATCCCCGTTATTTGTTCTCAGATACACGTACTTCTCGAGGAGTCTATACGACACGTGAGGTCTCGTGATTATACATTCTGATAAATATATTTTCGTCTCGATGGAAGAGCTTTGCATAATATTTCTTGATATCACTGGTAATTATTCTTTTGTTATTCGCGATGACTATTATTTCTTGAGTTGAGTTAGTCGAGTCGATAACTTTATTAATACACGGTAAAAATTTTTTTTGCATAATTTAAAAGTATAGTAATCTAAGTCTGCATAACTAAACTAACTAATAATTAATACAGTATTATAAGAATAAAAACCTATTATATTACTAAAGCTCCTTTTCAAGGATGCCGTGTCTCATTCAAAGCTGTAATAACGATGTTTACCTTCAAATTCACTTAAAGAAACCGTAGATCGGAGTTCATGAGAAAGGCTGTTCTACAACTTAGCACCCCTGTAAAAAACTCGTTGGAAAAACTTCTCTGCTCTTTTTTGGAAGATGTGCAAGACTAGTGCAAGATATGTGGCTGACATTAAATTTATATTAATATTACTGTTAGTGATCTTAACATTAATTAAAAGCAATGTGATGTAAATCAGTATTGATACTGATATAAGTTTAGATATTAACACCTCAATTTATCGCTGGCTTTGTACGTGTGACAGGAAAGTTCCAAATTCAATGTTTTGTAGCCAGCTTGTATGAAGTTTGAGGTTTATGTCCAAGACCATCATGCAGACACCTTTCAGCTGTTACAGAGCATTTTCCCATTGATAGTTCATAACTGCGATTTCCCCTGGAAAGGTTTATTTCTTTTTTTGCCATGGTGGAAGAAAGCGAGAAAAACGTTTCTAAAAGCACTAGCCGTGTTGACAACGACAGTGTTAGTTTGAAATGGTATGTGTTTCACACACTGCTGTTGAATTGGTACACCTCTGTGACTGGAACGAGCATAAACTCCCGAGCTGGATTTTTCACACTCGCGTTCGTTTTGCTGGAAACCGACATGCGACTTAATGAGTGTGTTATCATCCTTCGAAATACCACACGAAATCTCTTCTTGAAGTATATCAAGAGCCACGGGTTGATTGCGCTGTTGGCGTGACCGCACCAATAACACGTCAGCATGATGTAGTTAGGCAGCGAGAAGTGCAAGTTGAGATCGATGGCCAAAATCATGTGATACACGTGTGCTGGAAGCCAACAAAGTGCAAATACCACGACGATTGCGATTGACATGTGAATGATTTTGCGTTTGGTGGCGTTGGCTCGGTGTGTGGCGCGATTGTTTATGGTAACTCCCGGTGCTTTGTGCGTGCGTAGTTTTTGACAAACATGGCCGTAAAGAACGCTCATTGTAGTTAGAGGAATCACGTAACTGGCGATGACGAGATAAAGGTAAACTCCGCGTAGAGATGCTTGAACAGGGCCGAGCCGTGAAAACTTGAATTCTATGCGCGAGTCTTTGACTCCAACGATAATTAGCCAGGGAATCATTAGGCACATTGAAGAGATCCAAATGACCGGAACCAGAACTTTCTTGTTCCTGAACCGAGGGAAATTGTGCATGGGCAGGACCATAGCGCAGAAGAAATCAAATGACACTGCCGTTAAGGAGAAGATGGACGCCGTCAGAACGACGAAGAATAAGAAATAGACTAGCTTAACTAGGAACAAGCCAAACCCTCCATCAATCCATTTGCCGTTCATAAGAATGGACTGCATGGACTGTGGCAGCACAATTACGGTTACAAGCAGGTCGGCCACAGCCAAGTTCACGTACATAAAGCTTGTTAATCGTCTGGTTTCCAGCTTCCTGTACAGAATATATATCACCAAAACGTTTCCGACTAGGGCCAGTAAAATGATGATAGAGTGCAGGATAGCGAAAGACACCTTGACGCTAACGGAATATCCCCCTTGCTCTGATGGAGTTGCTGAAGATGCTGAAAAGGGATGTAACCAAACGTCAATGGTTCAGTGCTTATCAAGAGACCTACATGAAATTGTAATTACTGTCTAACGGAACAAGGGTTCACCCATACAGTAGGTTCACCAGTTAAATTAAAGCTACTATAGACAGAATAACAGTTATACAGTCCTACATAAAAATACTGCTCACCAACTTTGATGTGAATGGTCACACAATAGATATAAAGATTTAGCCATAGACTTAGAAGTTAGAACCAACTTGTGTAGCTTAATAAAAAGTACCACATGAAATTACTGCTCAGTAGCTTCCATTTGAAAGGTAACACAAAAGGGTATCTTTCGCAGAATCAAACGCTTGAAGCACCTGAATGGTACAGCATGATAAACAGTACCACATAACACTCCTTAATAGCTTTGATTTGAAAGGTCAAACATAGGTTTCATTCACAGATCTAAACGCTATAACCACTTTGTACTTTGTACAGCGTAATAAACAGTACCACAAGGCAGTAGTACTCAGTAGCTTCCATTGGGAAGGTTTCCCATACCGGTTACATCCGCAGACTCCAAACGCTTATAGCACCTGGTGCAGCATAATACACTAAACCACATGAAAGTTCTGCTCAGTAACTTTGATTTGAATGGTTACACACTAGTGTTTCATCCACAGAACCACCTTGCACAGCGTATTAAGGTGATTCCCTAGTAAAAGAACCCGTCATAGATTTCCGATGAAACTTGGTGTGCCGTTGTTACAGGACAAGCAGATGTTAAAAACGTAGTAAAAAGAGGGAGTCACCGTGCTTGTTTTCATGCCACAAAACGTACAAATACGGTTATTTAGGCGACTTTTGGTAATCTCCGTGCGTAACAAATAAGCTCGATTATTTTTCAATGCAGCGTGGTATATCACACAGAGTTTGACTTTCTCTGATTGCTTATTTATCTACGTCCCAGAAAAAATGTCTTCAAATACCCTGCATTTTTTTATCCACTGAAGGGAAACATAATTTGGACATGCGCTGTTAGGCCCGTTATGTCTTCCTCAGTTGTATTTATTTCACTTGCCAAAAAAGTAGCCATAGATTTCTGCTAATTTTTTTCTCAGTTATTGAGGATATTGTTCTCATTGAAATTATGAGATAAAAGGTGGGGGTCACCGTACTCGTTTAAGAGAAAAGGAGCATTTATTTAATTTCGCTATCGAGCTTAATTTCAGGGAAATCTCTTACGTTTTGTACGCGCAGGCGCTCATATGCGCGCGCTAATGACGCGAAAATCGTGCGCAGTAGGGATGCGCAATGCAATACTAAGGAATCACCTTAAACAGTACCACATGTAGTGCTCGATACCTTACATTTGAAAGGTCACACACTGGGGAATACTTCTCAACCAATCTTGATAGACCTATACATTTTGATTGTGCACGGCAGGCGAGAGGTTGTAGATTAATCTAAATTAATCTTGATCGAGAAAGAGATCAAAATGTCTCATTCGATCGTCCCTTGATTTGTACGCGATCCGAACTAGTTAATTCCGATATATCTGCTTTTTATGCCGTGCGTGCCTGAAATGTCGAGTCGCTTACCGTTTCCTGACGATTGAGTAGACATTGCCCAATATATGTTACACTGTTATTCAGCTTTTCTGCAGAGAAACACAAGAAAAAATGCGTTAGGGTTTATAAGACAAAGTGCGTTAATCTCAGAGACTTCTGAGACAGTTCACACTAAATAAATCGCTTGTTATGTGTCATTACAACTGCAATGGTCGAGTGGTGCCTTGTGTGCCCCCTGCTAACTTAGGCTAATCTTCAAAGCTGTTCTTTGGCCAAGGGAACGAAAAAAACCAGGCCGGGTTATGAGTCACTGTCGGAAAAATGTAATGAGAGGGCGATTTTCTCTGTTCAGGCTGGAAACTAAGATTTCTGCCCGGTTTCTAAACACTGAAACCCACTTGAAATAAATAGACGATTAGTATACATGGAGACAGTTTTACCTGGGCTGAATTTCAACCCGGGCTAACGAGAAGATGAAATGAGTTTTGATTATTTAACGCCCTGTTGTGTAGAACTGTAGACAACAAGGTCTCTTGGATAAGAATGGCCTTAGGCAACCCTGAATCGGAAGCGTTGGTCCAAACATTCACGAAAGAAAAAGAGTTCGCTTTGCATTTTACCTCGACGTGACGGTTTAAGCGAACTCTTTTCATCTTCAGTCCACGAATAAATGAACTGTGTAATCCTAAAACATTTCAGGTGATAGCAGAATATAATATTTTCAACACGGCTTATCGGAAGTATTTGTAAGGTTACGGAGTCAGGCTTGATGAAGATCGCTGTGATTTAATCCGAACCATTGAAGAACATCAGTTTACTCGCGTCTGGCTCCGTTGAGCCCAATTTTGCGGTGAAAGCAAATATTCTGGAAAATACTCAAATCAACCACAACCAGACGTAACTAATCAATGATCCATTGGGTAAATGAGTAATCAACGAGTCGTCTGTAATTAGTTCAGTATTGATGATAGGAAATAGTCAGTGACTAAATATTTTTGTCAGTGCTATTTGTGGTCCACTGATTACCCATCAGTCAGGGCTGGAGAAAAGCACGTTTGCTAAACGATAAGAGGCTAAAGAGTTCTTAGTTAATCTACTTACCACTGTGAATTCTACGATAGCTGTTCTTTTAGAGTATTCTCTACATACACTTAGTTACCTGGGAAATGCTGGCTTCGATGGAAGTCTTCGTTTCACAAGTACAGCGTTTTGAAATTCGAGGCAGCTTGGGTTAAAGGAGCTGTGTCACGATATCGCATCTTGAAAAGTTTGTAATCCACGTCAATCATTTGCATCCTTAACCATCCTTGTTTCTTTATGGTTTATTAGTATCTCTTTGGTGTTTTTCTATCTTAGTAAAGTATTATTTTCAGGTTACCTTCAGTATAAGGTAAGGTAAGGTAAAGTCTGCATGCGAGCCAAGTGGCCCATCAGGCCGGAGCTTATCCCGGTTTCTGTAGCATGAAGCGACTAGGAGTATTTCTACTCCCCCCTGGARGGGATGCTAGTCCATCGCAGGGTTACCCCCAGCATTAAGTTCGCCAGTACCCATTTATACACCTGGGTGGAGAGAGGCACTGTGAGAGTAAAGTGTCTTGCCCAAGAACACAGCATAATGTCCCCGGCCAGGGCTCGAACCCGGACGGCTCGATCCGGAGACCAGCGCACTAACCATGAGGCCACCGCGCCTCCCACCTTCAGTATAAAGGTATATAAAATTAATTTTGTCCACGGCCAAATTAACTCAAAATGCCGTGACTGAGCCCCCGGACTGAGCCCCCGGGCTGAACTCCTTTATCGCGATGTGAAGTGTTATAGAGACCGCTATTTAACCATTTTCAGACGTGCTAATCGAAGTTAATAGTAGTAATTGAAGCATTACAAAGTGAAAACTGCTGTCATTGTTAGAAAATAATAAATTGTGTTTTACATTTTGCCCACCTTACTGGGCGCCTGACTGGTGAACCAAAGTGGAACACCAATCATATAAGTTTTGTGTATTGTGTTGTACTGTAATTTTCCAAATATTGTGTTCCCAGTGACTTGGTTGTAATCAACACTGCAAAGTTGGGTTTTCCGAATTTCGAAATTCATTTCTTCTTTTTAATTCTTTTTTTTTTTTTTTTTTTTTTTTTTTTTTTTTTTNTATATTTCTTCCTTCGCGTGTGCTCTTGATGTGTGACGTGGCGACATGAAATTCATGCGCAGAAAGAATGCGTAGGAACAATGGACGCGCACGTCCATAATACTCATTTTCACGGTTATTTATTTATTTATTTATTTATTTTTTTTTTATTTTTTTTTTTTTTTTTTTTTTTTTCAATTCTCTTCTTTATGGGAGCAAATCGATCGGGTTATTTTATACGATTATATGTATGATTCGGCCCGTAATACTGTATGCAACGATAAGTACTGATTTGATAAACTGAAGATTCATCCGATGAAACATTGATTTAACACTGGCCTTGTGAACCTGGGAGTCTAATCTAATCTTACCATCTGGAAATTCTATCCACAGAATATGTTCACGTGACAGGCAGGGTTGACTTTGGCCGTCATGTCACGTCCTTGAAAGAAGCTTCAGCTATTCGAGACAGTGGAGGATTCGGCTTGCGTGTTTACATCGTTGTTGCACACTTTTCAGACCGCGTAACGTTCCATGTGGAGGGTTAAGCGCAATTTGTTACACGCAACTGATTGCAATATGGGAGTAAGTACAAACGGAGCAATTGTAACCTCCCAAATGAATCATCATCTCATGGCATGAATTGGGTGGCAACAAGAATGCAAACACCTTAGCCGAATTCGTCTATTGGGGCTAATAGCTGCACGCCGGAAATCAAGACGAACGAGGCAATGCCTTCTCGAGCTTACATTTTTTGTCATTCTTATCTACAGCAACAAAGATTCCAATACCCGGTGACGTGAAAATAAACTGAAATTGTAAGACACTTGGCGTGTTCTGTGAAGAATTCTCGAATCAGTCTGATTAGTGTTCCTATTCTTGTTTTCCATTCTAGCATACTCGGGCTCATATAGTCTAATCATTGTTAAACGAAATCGTTTCTTGAGTATTAGAGATTGTTTGGCAACTTGAATCATTGCCTATATTTTTATCTTAAGTATCTCAGCCTCTGCAATCTTTGCAAATTTTGCCAGTCCCTTTCACTTCGAGTTGAAGGTAAGTTCCCAACGTAGACGACTCGCTGAAGGAAGCGATAAAATTTCACGGTTATTAGCAGCTCAGCGAAGAGACATGATTCACCCCTTTCGTATCGCAATACATTGAAAACCGCCCAAGTCATGTTATGAAGGTGAATTGGACCAAATAGTGCGGGAGCGGATAGCGAAAGGCTTGAACTTAACAAAGGTTGTTACGTTCCGAACTTTACGATTTTATGAAAGTAGGACATCTTGCTATTTTCGCCATCGTGACTCGTCATCAAGTTACTGGCGGTGTAAAACTCTGTCATGGCATAGAATTTTGAACGAAAAGGAATAAGCTTTGTAAACCAGATGCTTAGGAGTGTCCTAAGATAAAATAGCACCAGAAATTTTACTGCTTGAGATGGCTCGTATATACCCTAATACTACGTCTATTATATTTTTCTAGCTCACCTGTTTTCAATGCAGATGAATGTGTAGACATGCGGTAGAATATGCGGTTATAGCACGACGGGTTTCCTCTGTAAGGTCGTTGAATACTTATCTCAGTAACCTGCAGCTGTCAATGTTATTAGCAAAATGGCTTAGTGCGTTGAATCATAAACTTCACAGCAATAAATTATTAGCAAAATTAATGTCAATCATACTAACAAAAAACGTGCTTTCTTTTGTCCATACTGCATACACCTGTTAAATAACAACGTCCACGTTATTGTTATCCTTTTAACTTTTGGACGATTTGAGCTGAAAATTCTTAAAAAAAGTGGTTATTTTTTTGGAAAACAAGCTGGATTTTTCCGGTCAAAAGTACGTGTACAGGAAAAACTGATCTTCATGTACGCCAATCATTATTTAATCTTCAATTAAGGTTGCAGTATACCTTCAGATCGGCAATTCTCTTCAAATGTGGATTTTTGGTTCAAAGTAATGGTCGAAGAGTAATCTCCAATGTTTTCGCTTGAAGCAGACACTTTAAAGAGTTACAACTCAAAGGGGATTTGTTTGATTGCCCTCAAATTTGGGCAGTAGCTAGAATAACATATAAAAAACAAACACGTGTCTGCGAATTGTTTATTTCGAAATATTTTTTCTCCGAGAGCATTTTTTGTACGATCGCTTCACATTTTTAAAATCCTGTTTCGAAAATGTTCTGTAACTTTTTACTGCAATTGAATGTGGCAAAACGCAGACACGCTTTTTTAGCNTTGTTATTGTTGTTGTTATTGTTGTTGTTATTGTTGTTGTTATTGTTGTTGTTATTGTTGTTGTTATTGTTGTTGTTATTGTTATTGTTATTGCCGATTGTGATAAGCGTGCAAAGATACAACTTGAACGCGACGTGATCGGTCTTTAAGGTCATTGTCACGCTTTCTGCCGATAAACGTAACGTCCTATGCTTCACGTACGCATTACTCCGATCATCACGGCTACCTCCGGTAAGTTAGATCATGGTGCAAAGCTGGAAAGAAGAATTCTTTTAACTGGTTCCTTACGCGGTCCTGAGTTTGGAATAAGGACAAACGACAATGGTCTAGTTTCTACAGTTTGATTTTTTCCCCGAAGCACTATAAAACACAAAATTACTCTGCCTTCTGTCAATCCCTTGATGAAGGTTTTACATCACATGCATTGGTGTTCTAGTGTTCCCCGAAAATTACAGAAAAAGCGTCAAAAAATTGTAAATAAGCGCTTATCGTCGAGGCCTTCTCGCAAACGTTGTTGTACTGGCTTGCTCGATTACTTAAGTTGTTTGAAAACGTAATTTCAATGTGTTAAATGAGTATTCCGAAGATCACATTGTCTATTTATCTAGCATCGTCCCTATTGTCTCGTATTCTAAATAAAACTAAATTTCGTTTCTTTCTTTATTCTTTTAAAAGCAGAAACGTGTCGTCACGTTCTGAAGCAGTCGTCGTTACTGGTGAATTTTCTTCTTTTCCTGCTTGAGAAGTTGACTTGGAATCTTTTTATATAACCGAACGAAAAGCATTTTATCAAAAGAGCTCTACTTAACTCGTTGCAAACTGTTTCAAGACGTACAAAGTGAGTGTGATGCTGCCAGAGTTTAAAATAAACTTCTGTGGTATCTTTTAACTTACTTTTCACGTTTTGCAACAGCTTTCAGAAGTCATAAATTTGGAAAAATACAATGGTGTCGTGGGGTTCTTCTGATTCTGAGTGCACTGATGACCCAGGGGAATTAACGAAGCTTTCCTAAGTTCAGATCTAGATGCGTCCAAAGTATTGTTTCTTGACAATAGGCTTTTGTATTCAACGAGCCATCTTAAGGCCCTGTTGAATATTGCCCCAGGGTTGGTAATGTTAATAGTAATTTAAAAAATTTATACATTTATTTTAGTTGAAGGAAATGGGATATATTTTGTTTTGTATTTCGTGTCGTAAATTACAAATTCTGAGCACGTTGTGTTTGGTTCGGTTAGAGTTATTTGATGACATTGGAAAATAATATTGCAGGTTTTTGTGCACGTCCGTGTGGCCTTTAGTTCGAAGAAATGTCATTTCAGAAGACGAAAAGCATATTTGTTAAATGTTTTCACTCGAAACAAGCTGAGGTAAGCGACAAGCATTTTAAGCACGAGCTATAAGACTATCCATGCAAATTATTTCACAACTGAATTTACCAGGAGGCCATGTAACAAGGGAAGTATGCCCCATAAGATTATCAAAACTACTTTCCTGAAATACTTTTTTCACTGTCTTATTATTGTCATATTGCCCGAGGTGAAAGATACTGACCGGAATATTATAATCAGCAGGTTAGCAAAACAGGCATACTGTTAACCAGTTGTTGTAACCTAATCTTTCATTACGTCAAACTGTCAAGTAACGTCGTGTTAATTTAGGAGTTCTTCTGGTTTATTCGGAGCTCCAAAATAACTTGATAGTAAATATGGTGTGTAAATAGAGCTATGCCCCGCTGTTTCTAAGCTATTTATATTTTCCTTTTTTGTTTAAGTTAAAAGTACTCACAGCATTACAGTTGCGAATTACTGTTGGTAGGCAACTCCTAAAACACAGAACAATTTATGCTAATAAGGATATCATAAACCGGCTCAGTTTTTATAATATCTTCTAAATTATAATTGTAACGGCTTGTTTTTTTTTTACTTGAAAATGAAACGTAAACGTTGAAGTGCCACCTCTTGAAAGACGACTTTCAGTATTTTTGTCCTTGTAACTTACGTCGAAGCTTGGGACAAATTCATTCGAAGCTTGATACAATTTTCCAAAAAAAAAAGGTTATGGAAGGAAACTTGGAGATGCTTTAAAGTACTGACACTGTTTTTGAATATCACTGTTTGAAATAATTAAACTTGAAGCTTATTATCGGAATTCTATTTTTTTTTTCAATTTTTAGGTTTGCTGTTGTTAAATCAGACAAGTAGCAAATAAAGAGGTTTTCAAAACTTCCGGAATCGGCGAAGTCCAAAGTAAGGGTGACACGGAACTCAGAAATTTTTCGCCACCTTCAGAATAATACTGAATTGCAAAGCTGCAAGTTGATACATTTAAAACACAGCTCGTCTGTATGACTTTGTCAGCCACCATTTGTGCATGAAATGACGACGAAAAGTATATATGATCTTTATTGAGTTAACCATATGAGGAAGTAGCAGATCCCATTAAAATAGTGCTCAATACACATATAAAATATTTTTAATTTGCATTGAAGCCGATCACAATCTCTTTCTTTAGCAGCTGAAAACAGTTTTTGATATTTTGACTTGTGTATAAAACAGTCGCATAGCAACAAAGTTTCGATTGCGTATCCAACTCAGTTCAACCTACAGGAAAAAAGCGGATAAAGTTGAGTCAGAAATTACAAAAAAATACAAAGAGGTAGCCAAGAAAGTATGAGAGTATTGCGTCAACTCCACGTACCAGCCAATAGGACTTAGGCCAGTTAGCGAGACCTTGATTCTCTCTAGATAGCAGCAATACCTTGTCAATAGTTTTTTATAATCAATAAGATAATCAAGTCTGGATGATAATTGGTATATTATCTACCACGCATAAATTATCCCAATAGACAGCACACGGCTTGCTGTACAAGATTGCATAGTTGCTGTTCGTCATGACATAACATGACGCCATTAAGTCCGCCATCTTGAATCCATCATCTTGAATTTTATTCTATTTTTCAATCAGAAAGCCAGAAAATAACGCAAATTGATGGAAAGTTATCAAAAAAGATGTAGAAAATAAAAAGGTACTATTATAGTTCTACAATTTGTTGCTCAAAAACCTGTGAGAAATGAAGGGTTCGGTCTTGTATATTCTGGAGATCGCACTGCCTAAAATAGAGACTATTTATCTAGTCTCCTCTCGAAGCAGGACTCGAAGCAATATTCTCTAGATAAAACCAGGAGTTAGAGCTAGGGTTAGGTAAAACTTATTTTTTGTTTTACAACCTGTTGACATCCATCGTAATTTACTTTTTATTTCTTGTTTCAGAAGTTAACTTGGAATCTTTTTTTCACAATTCAGTAACTCATTACTCAGAAAAAAGAAAGAGGACATTTTGCTAACAGAATGCTGAAAAATATATTTACTTATAATGGACCAGTGACCAAGCTTTGTCAGATGTGATGAATGACAAAACATTTGCACGTACAGATCGTTTTCCACCGAACTTAATCGCACGTTTTACAGACAAATAAATATTGACACTGTTTTCTTTTGGCTCAAGAAACCCTCTCTCACCACTTTTTAATGCACAAAAACAGTTTTTAGGATCCACCCGCTTTCAATCAGATTATTGCATTATTATTTTTTTTTTTTCATTTCAAATGAATCAACGAACTTTGTGGATGCTGATTTCGCTGGGAGCCCAGATAAGCAATGAAAAAAAAAAAAAAAAGAACCGTCTTATTTATTTTAGTTGAAGGAAGGTATCTTATTTATATATATATTTTTCGTGTTGTAAATTACGAATTCTGAACACGTCGTGTTTAGTTTGTATACTGTAATTTGATGGCATTCGAAAATAATATTGCAGCTTTTAAAGTCCGTGGACATTAGCTCGAAGAAACATCATTTCCGAAGACGCAAACTAATTTGAAAAGTGCTTCCATTTAGAACGAGTTGAAGTCAGCGACAAGCAATTAATGCACCGGGTAGAACATTGTCGCAGTCCATGTAAAACTGAATTTACCAGGAGACCATCAAACAAGGGATGTATGCATAAAATTATTATAATTGTTTTTCCTAAATTGTTTTTTAACGCTAAATTACTTTTTTTTAATATCGCTATATAATTACCATATTGGCACGTCATGTTTTAATTCCATACTGATCGAAGAGTAAGATACTGACCAGAATATTAAACAACAGGTTACCAAAACAGACAGATATCAATTATTGTAAGATAATCTTTCCTTGCGTCAAACTGTGACGTGGTGTCGTTTTAATTTAGGTGTTCTTATCATATGTGAAATTCATTTGTGTTTTTCAGAACTCATGGCTCCAAAGAACAAATTGATCGTAAATATGGTGTCTAAATAGAGTGATCTTTACTGCTGTTTAAATTACATGTTCTTACAGCAATGCAAATTCCGAATTACTGCAATTCAATTCATCATGTTCGACTTTTTAATCATAGCTTTTTAAAATATAACTGCAAATATTTGATTTGAAGCTTACTTGGGCTTAGTAGCCGCTGGTGAAGATTTAAAATCCTTTCATTTCTCAAGATATTGTCTGAAGTGACGCAAATTTAAATTTCAATTAAAAAATTACTTTCCTATCTCACCGTCCATGCGTGTCGAAATTATTTTCGAGGGCTATGCAGGGTACGTGACTTTCTACTTTCCTCGTAAAAATGTTCATATCTTCTAAGCCAATCGTTGTTGCCCTTTATTTGAAAATAAATAAATAAATAAATAGATAAATAAATAAATACATAGACTCAAAACTTGGTGTCAGCTCTTCAAAATCGAGTTTCAGTCATTTTCTATTTGTAAGTGACTTTGAGGTTTGGAACAAATTCATCGGACGCTTGTTACTATTTGCAGAAAAAAATATAAATAAATAAAGAATAGGGTCTTCTGTCGCTGTTACCATGCAGCTGTCGCTGTTTCTATTGTCAATATATATATTGCGCTCTACTTTAATATATCGAGCACTGTACTACGGAAAAATCGAAACACAGACTTCTTATATATATATATATATATATATATATATATATATATATAACTTTTTGAGATACTAGCTGAATAGCACTGACTATGCTAATTAAACTTGAAGGTATATCAGAATTCAAAATTTGCAAGAATTTTTCTTTACTCTTTAGCTTTACTAGGGTTAAATAAGACAAATAGCAAACAATCTATAATTAAAGTAGTTTTGAAAACTCACAGAATCGGTAAAGTCCAGGATTAGGTGACACGCAGTTCTGAAATTTCTCACCACCTTCAGACCACTTAATTGAAAAACTGCAAGTCGATATTTTTATAAACATAAATTGTAATACAGGGCACGCGTGTGTGTTTTCATGGAACACGTGATGAGCTTCAGTTCAGAGTACACCATCTGATCACGTGATTCCTCTTCAATAAGCGTGTTTGAAAAATACATTTGAAGTCTCACATTTGCACTCGATCAGAGGACAATCAATATCGTATCTGGGTTGGCAATATAGGTCAACTGTCTTATTACCTTTTTTAAGTACAACGTGAAAGGCAGGATAGAAATAACTTGATTGTATTAGTAAGGATAAATATTGTTTTTAACTTTGAACGTTTATGACAGTTTGTTCGCTAACAACTAAGAACCTTTAACTCCCTGACCGAAATTCAATAATAATGGCGACGTTTCACTTCCAAAATCATTTCCTTTAGAGTGCAATTTATTACCGGTAAAGTGGGTGGCAAATTTTAATGACAAGTTAATATGCCGAAGAGTCACATACAGCTGGTTCTTCGTTCAAATAAATTATCGCATGTGAAAATATACTGGCAGAATATCTCACTTGTTATTCATTGGTATGAAATTTTTATCTTCCTTTTGCTTCTTATATGAGTTTTTTGTATGTATATTTTTCCCACAGACCGCACAGTGTGAGTGTTAAATTTCGCTAATAAAACGTGTAAGTGCAATTTCATGATGTAGAAAGCACCAACCAAACTGTTCAGGCTGTGATATTTGTTACGTGTGTTGACAAATTAATGTGACTGCATGAATGCGTCAGCCGCTCGTTGTGCATGAAATTTTAAGGCAAAGTACGTCATCTTTTTTTGAATTAATAGACTTTGAAGTAGATCGCAATCGCTTCCTTCACGGCTTAAAATAGGTTTTGATATTTCACCCGTGTAGAGCCCAGCCGCATAGTAACAAAGTCTCGATTTCATATCTCAACTCAGTTCAAACTACGGGAAAAAGGTGGATAAAGTTGAGGCAGAAAATACGAAAAATGCAAAGATTTATCCAAGGAAGTATGTAAAGAATAGTTTTACCTCCACCTTTACCAGCCAATAGCACATAGATCACAAATTTGGTGCGAAAATATTATCGGATATTTTTCCGCGGACATTAAACTGTGAGCTTCAATGAACAGATACACTGATTTTCAAGGACAAATATCCAAGCAGATTTTTTAAAATCAAATGGGGGCTATGACGTTTATTGTCCCTCGAGTATTTTCTTCAACGGCACTTTGGGAATATCACTCGGATATTCCTTGGTTTTAGCTGGGGTATATTCAGTCACGTGACGCGTTTAGACTGATCGTGTGCTGGCGAACGTATTTGATGGATTATAATTCTGGATAAAACAATATTTCCAATGTATATTCGACTCGATCCAAACTATGGGAAACAAAGGTAATGCTGATGCAGAAAATGCAAAAAAATCCAATTAAGAATTAGCCAAAGAAGTATTAGAAGAATTGTTTCACTTGTTCCTTTCGCAGCCAATAGCATTAGCAGTAGCGAGCCCTTGAGGTTTCTGGTTATAGCGAAAAACCTCACCAACATTTGTTCATAATCCAGTGGATGTTCACTGAAATATCAGCTTCAATGCAAGCATGATCATTTCGAAACCTAAAATAACTCACGTCTAATTCATAGAAATAGCAAACTATCATACAGTTCTAGATCAACGACGCAAATCGAAGAGACGGAAATAAAAGTGGTATCTTACCCAAGGTAAAGCAAAGAGAGGAAAAGTGTCGACTTCTTTGTATGTCGCCTTGCCTGAAATATAGTGGAGGTCCTACACGCCGGTTTGGTGAAATGCTTATGGGTGAATTTCTTTGAAGGTTATTGTTTTGAGTAAAATGGTTATGAATGTCAATGATTTGCATTAGTATTTTATGGGAGCTTCGTTTAAGGCTTGGCTAAATATAGATATAAATATTATATACGTCTTTTAATGGAACGGATGGCGTGAATTTCCGAATAGCAAAATTAGAAAAAAAAAATGGTAATGACAGATCCAGAAGACAGCTGTAGGGGAGTGCGATATTAAATGCAACACTGCTTGACAAATGAAAGGAAGCACAGTACGTAATAAAATAAAATTAAGAAGTGATAACGTATAAAGATAATAAGCAATAACTTTTGGGATCACGTTTTAAAGTTAGGCTTGGTTTTCTGGGAAGTCATTTTTACGAAATTCAGTTACACGATAGTATGCACCAGTTTTTACTGTTCGGCCCATAATCAAGTTTAGTTGTTTTCAATGTTAATAGGATACACCTCAATTTAAGGGACGTCACTTAGAAGGGGGCGTGAGAGTAAAGACGAAACAGACAAACGTTTCTATGTAGTTTGAAAAAAAAAAACCGACAACAACAGCAACGCCTAAAGCGACAGAAAATATAAAAGGGAGACGAAAGCTTTCTTTCTGCCCTCAGTGAAAAACACCAATTAACAAACACAGTTTTAATTCCATCAATTTTATTTACAATCGATCGAGCCAATTCTTACTGACAGGTTAATGGAAATGCAAAGAAAAATATACTTTTACTACCTTCACCTGTTACGTTGCTGATGGATCTGAGAATAGAAAAGTTAATGGCTCACGGATAGGTTTATCCTGACAAGTTCCCGAGTTCTCAACGAACGGTATGGGTTTCTCACCAATATTTTCCCTTAGGTTAATTAAGTTTAATATGTGCGTTAAGACTAAACGAAAATTCTCTGATAAGATTTTGTCCAGGTCCCAGAGGAACCTTCTAAAACTCCATAGATTTGGACAATTTTTTGGCAATTTTCCTTTTTGTGTCGAGCACAAGAGTGACTTTTGTTTATTCATAAAGTGAACTTATTTCAGTGAATTGTCAAGTTTATGTTTTATCTTGAGTCATTCGCAAACATTGAGACATCGAGAGCTCCGCAAGGCGTCGCACTAGTTTGCTGAAGAGATAGGTAGACGACAATAGAAACGAATCGTTTGGGATAAATGGCCACAAATATGACGAGTTTAATTGAAACTAAGGTTACAAACAAAGATTAAAATCTCTTCAGGAAAGGTGGGGTTAAAACTTTCGCCACCAGTAAACACTAAAGTAAAATACTACATAAGATATGTTGACAGTCTACGGGTTGGTGACCGCGGGGGAGGTGGAGGGAAGAAGAACAAATACGTCTGAATGCTAAAATTCAGAAAAGTTCTTCTTGCGATGATAGCAATAGTAGAAAGGGGCCGCGTGTACGAGATAACCAACGTTTTGTACTTAACTTTGACACGCGCCCATTTTTCATTGGACAGGAGACTTCCATTGTGACCAGATTAGAGCACAACCCGCAAACTGATAAGAAATAGGAAATGCCTCGCGATAAAATAACATTATGCTTTCGGTTATAGGCGTAATGTTTGTTTTTTATCTTGAGTCATTCGCAAACATTAAGACATCGAGAGCTCCGCAAGGCTTCGCACTAGTTCGTTGGAGAGATTGGTAGACGACAATAGAAACGAATCGTTTGGGGTAAATGGCCACAAATGTGACGAGTTTAATTGAAACTAAGGTTCAAACAAAGATTAAAATCTCTTCAGGAAAGGTAGGGTTAAAACTTTCGCCACAAGCCACAACAATGTGGCAACCCCGCAAAGACGCTGGCGGATCTCTCGAAAGAAAAGGCACACCGAACAGTGGCGCCACAACCCCAGACTGACCAGCGTCACTGAACGAAAATTACAGGGCGACGTGCATATCAGGTCGCAAAATTTAAAATTACGAATAAATTGAACTTATTTCAGTGAATTGTCAAGTTTATGTATTTGTTTAAAATTGGCCGAAATTTATTGCCAATTTTGTTAAGGGGAAAAAAAGCCCGTATTTTGTCTCGTACAAACATGCCCCTTGGGGCACAATTTAAATACAGAAAGCCTTATTTTAACATAACTGGCAAAACCATGCAATTAAGTTCAGCATACATAAGCTTGTGCCATTTGACAATATGTTCCTTTTCTGTTCACTAATAGCTTACAGAGACATCAAAACGCGGTGAGAAAAAAAAGTGTCACACAAGGTAAAAGCTTAGACGAGTGTGTCACTGAAGAAAATCTAAAACAAGCTTTAGGAGTCTTCCATCCCCAGTTCTGTATGCTCGAGGGGGGTAGGTAGGGGGAACACCTTAAATATCAGATGCCCTCTTATGGCTCAGATAGATGTCAAGGTTCAATTATTCTGCGATCCATCTGGATTTCACAATACCGTTACTCGACAAAGTTCTTCCTGTTCTTCATTAAGTAAGCCATTTTTTTGTTTGCGGCTCTCTTGATGTGGTCTTGCAGAATTGCTTTGACCGGGACATGTAAACGAGGTGTACCTTGTTGAAGACTGGGCTCTAGTGGACCTGGAACTGTATCTTGCATGCCTGTTTCTCCGCACCACGTCACAAAGGGCCTTGCGGAAATTTTCACTTAGGATCATATAAAGCCATGGGTTGACGGCGCTGTTAGCATGTGCCAACCATAAGACAAGGACTATCACATACGGGGGAATCTTGTCATAAACATCCGGTCGGAATGCTAAAAGGAGATGGTAACACTGGGCTGGGAGCCAACAAATAGCAAAGATGGCGGTGATTATGACGAGCGTACGCACAACTTTTCGCTTGGTCATCTCGTTTCGTTGGTGGCCTTGGTTTGAAAGTTGACGTCCCGGAAGGTTTCGGAGCCAAAGCGTGCGGCCAACCAGGATATACAAGGAAGAAATCAAGAGGAGTGGAAACAGATACATGAGGAGGAAGAGATACATATAAAATCCCCTCATCCCGAATTTTCCAAGCATTAGAAAATTCGGCGTGCATGTATATATATCCAACGGCTTCAACTCTTCAAGTCTCCATGTCATTGCGACAGGAATAGAAAAGACCATCGAACTCAACCATATTGTCACGGTGACGACTTTCGTTTGGCGAAATCTTGAAAAACGACGGAGAGGATAAACCACACCCAGGTACCTATCCACTGACATAATCGAGAGACTAAAAATGGATGCCGCCAGAGTGACGTACGAACAGTAATACACAAGTGTGCAAGTCACGTGGCCTAGAATGCCCGGCAGCCAATTTTGAATCCCATCGGTGTAAAGCCATTTAACAGACACAGGCATGACAATCAATGTCACCAACAAGTCAGCGACGGCCATGTTGACAAACAAAAACGCGGTGAGTGTCCTCACGTCAGCTTTTCGCGTGACAATGAAGATTAGAAGTACATTTCCAATCAGGGCCAGGAGTATCGTCACGCAGTACAGGACAGTGAACGTTGTTGTTTCTAGAGGACTCAGTGAAGCTGGTCCTCCTGTTGAGGAAATTAAAACGATTTAAGATTATTTTCTGTTTAAAAAGGGCGGCTTTTGCAGCCAACTGGATATATTGGTCAAATTCTGACAATTACAACATGAAATAACAGGAGAATAATACAACAACAACAACAACTACAACAACAAAAAAGCCCTTTGAATCTTGGACTATGACAGTTCTAGTAATCTGTTTTCTTGCAATCGATAAAATGGTATTATACATTTAAACCTGCGCATTATAACTTTTATATCAAATGACCGGGGCAATAAATGGTAAAGCTTCATTCGCAAAAATACATAAGTTTATTTAACTACAAAGCGAGAAAGTAGATAATTTTATAACTACAACCTTTTTCTTACAAAACAGCATTCAATGCAAACTGAAAATATTCAAACTTTGTGACCTCTCCTTAAAATAATCAGGGAATGGTCTCAATGGAAGTTTCTATGACAACTGTGTTTTCAAAGGGTTTTTGACCTAGATGTAGTCTTTCTTAAGCTTAAACTTTTGTTTTGATTCGAATTAGGATTTTATGATCATTTTTTTCAAAGTTCTTTAAATTCCTGTAGCCTTACGGCTTTCTCGATTTTTTAAATCGATGTTGGTCTGGCTTACTTATTTGAAAAAAATTGAAATCCAAGATGGCAGATTCAAGATGGCCGACATTTTTGAAATGTGTTCTACAATCTTGGCGTTACTGGACGTCGTGATAGACTCGTGCTTATCACTAAAATAAAGAGGTTTGGACACTTAAGGGGGATGTGTCACCTTTGGTTGGAATTCGTCCTTTCAAAATATTTTTGTTTATGATATAAAACGACAATTTCATATTTTACAGACACCATTCGGCAGAAACTTCTACCTTCTTCAGTGCAAACATTACAGAAAACGCAAATTGAATATAAACAACTAGTACATGCTGACGAGTAAATATACACAATAGAAAATGCGTGCAGATTACGAAGATAGGCTTAAGTTAACGTGCCAAGAGGTGAAGTTGCAGATTAAGAGAAGAGATTTCCGACAAGTTTTGCAAAGCTTCTCATTTCTTGAGCAGGAATGAAGTGTCAGCTTGATTAAGTTGCTCTGAAGAAAGCAGAAGTTTCTGCCGAAGCCATTTTTGTCAAATTTAAAGTCGTCGATTTACATCTAAAACTTCTTGCTGTCCGGACAGCTTTCTATATATTTTGGAATGATTTTGCGTAAATCTCTGAATATGATTAAAGGAAACAGCTCTAAGCTCTACAATCGTTGTTCAACATATATAAGTTCGTGAGCAAATTCTTAAGTCGACATTAAGTAAGTACCATAAAAAGTCTTTGCGCAGAGGACTTACATCTGGAGACGAGGTTAATTGAATTATCAGCCCATGACCTATTATTATTCAAGGTGGGGATCTATCGTAACGAATGTCCGGGGGAGGGACCCAGTGTCACCATTTTGCGGTATCTCCATATTTAGGAGTCTTCCAGAAATTTTTAGGCGAGTTTAAAAAAAAAAAAAAAAAAATGGCGATTGAAACTGTGCAGTTATGCTATACCAGACATAGCTTGATGAACTAGACTCCTTAAGTACAAACCGTGATTAGGAAATAATTCACATCTCTTCCAACGTTATTTGCATATTTCAGCTCTGAGTGAAAAATAACCCTGGAGTGCCAAAGGTTCACTCATGTTGTCTTGCAGCCATGCAGATTTATTGAAACAAACAAAAGAGTTAACATGAGAAAAGATTACATTGGTTTGGTACACCAACATGGTCACCGTCGCGTTTTATTGTTTTGGGATGCCAACATAGCTGCCGTGACGTCATTTGAAAAAAGCTCTGTATTCAATTTCTCAAACATCTGTTCACGCCATTTAAAGTTTCATTTTATTAGGTGTGACGACAACTCTGCAAATGGTAATTGCCTTATGAAAAACGTTTTGTAAACGAAACTACATAATTATTAGCGTGCAATTATGGTGCAAACCTTTAAATATCGCATGCACATTTACTAGCACTCCGTTAGATCTGTAACGTAAACATAGTAGTTTACATTACGTACTCAAGATTATGTCCCTAAAGAAAAGTTTTATTTAGTGGAAAGAATCTGTTCGCATGAAGCGTCGTTTCACTGTGAGAACAACCGAACCAATTGGAATTATCTCATGAAAAAGGTATCGGAAGCGATATAATGGAGTTAATAGGCGTGAAATTACGGCGTAAATCTCTTAAAATACAAACAGCAACTGTGAGTCACTGAACACAGTGTAAACATCAAAGTTTACGTTATATGCTCAAGAACAGCCGAGCGGTGAAAGAAATTTATAGATTTACCCCGAGGTGAAAGAGAACAAAAGCTTAAAACAGTAAAACGAAAGCAAATGGAGTTCGTAATGCAATTTGAGGAGCGTTTTTGAACGACAAAGATGCACGCTAACGTATCATGAGTTTTGACAAAAAGAACCAAATCTATGTCTTACCTTTTCACGCTTGACGGAATTGCATGTATGAAAGTTTGTTCAAGTGACAATCTAGTATATACCTACCTAGACTAGCATTGGAAGAATTCATTGCTGTTGCTTGCTGCAAGGGAGTGTGTCACACGAATAAGAAAATCTTTCTTGAAGACGAGCTGTGCTACACAGTACACGGATAACGTGAGGTCAACATCGTGGAAGAAAGATAAATTTTGGATTACCTGCCGTCTCGATAACAATACTTGAAAACGTTACTTATTAATGGAATATATTTTCTCTGATAAAGATCGCTAAAAGAACGCAGTCTTTATAATCTGTAAGCTCGTAGTTGTTTTTTCCGATGCCGGCAAGGACTCCTTTTTCCACATTTACTGAAGCAATTAGCAGTTTCGTGGTTTAAAAAGTCAAAAATGCTTATGGTTTATAGTATTGTACGTAAAAACGTAGTGATGTTATATACATTTTGCCGATAAAAGTGAAATAGAAAACTTTAAGGTAAAAAGCTGTTAAAATTATGAGTCTAAACGTTTGTGATCTGTTTGATCAATCATGATGATCAAACAGATCGAAAACGTTTAGACTCATAATTTTAACAGCTTTTTACCTTAAAGATTTATATTGAAATGATGTTAGTTTTGTAAGTAATGTTAGTATCATGGTAACTAAATTAACGATATAAATTACGTAATGTGTGGTATTGTTATAACTATGTACTGTTAGTATTGCAAGTTATTTTAGAATTTTAAGTATAGATCAATGAGTGTTGTAAGTCATGTTAAATTAACAATAGTTAGCAATTATTGGACAAGGTCTTGATTTGTAAGTGTCAATCTTCGGTTTCGGCAAATAACTGATGTGCGAGACAATGAAAAATCACGATATTTTGCGATAACCGAGTTTAATAATTGTTTTATCATTCGATAACCAAGTTTGTTTTTATATTTAAATTACTCTCTGACAGCTCAGGGAAGCGATGTGCCATTTTTTAGTGCGAAGTCCGTAGGACGGAGGACTATTGGGGTTAGAATATTGGGAAAGGAACTTAATCTAATCGAAAACGGGAACTCCAGATGTCAATGTTTTCGTCAGCTGGACACAATATGACGACATACTGAAAGACCGTAACACAAATCTGTTACACTTTTTCCATTGCTAAAAAGTTGTCGGTTAGCCGAGGGCGCATATGAACTCCCTTGCAGGGTAGGTGAGGCAAGTTTCAAAATACTAAAAAATTGCCTCCTTTCCCCTCCCCAGAGATTTCTTTGGTACCTATTGTGTTTGTTTCCTTAATTTGAATATTCTAAGAGGTGGGGAAAAGTCTTTTTTTTTTATTTTTTTTTTATCACACTATCCAACCAAACACGGCGCCTTCTAGACGGCAAAATTCTGTACTTAGAACCAAAACACACATTTAAAGAGTCCGAAATAGTAAGGAGTAAGCATCAAGAAGACTCGACCGATGGTTAAGAGGACGATAATGACTTAGAATTATGGTATCGCTATATCGTCCTTCGGGTTGCAAGAAGGTCCGAATCAAAGGTCCTCCTGAATAATCTTACATGTAAACTAAAACTGAACTGCGGAACACTGTGAACAAGTTTAAAATGGACTTTCTCGTCTACGGTGTGGAAATATTGCTAGTTTAACAAAATGCATCGCTTATTAAATTAGCATTCTCTTCTAGAGGAATTGTTTTGGTGTTGTTTTTTCATATACCTTTCAGCCAACTTTTGCGTCCTCAACTTACGGACATCAACACGCATTTGGATAGCAGAGATGACACGAATATACTTATGGTAGAACGCTTATATCCAAGTCACTATTTGTCGTGAACACGATGTCGTTCACCTATGTATAGTTATATAAGTGAGTTCGTACTTTCCGTTCGGAACCACTCGACGTTTACACAAGAGCATGGTTACAATTACGCATGAGTAGAATATTATTTGCAGCACAAACGTTTTAGACGGTACTACGGATGAGCAGACCATTATCTGTAGGCAGTTATTTCCAGGTCACTTGGTGGGATCTCGGCCAATGAAAAGGAAGAAACAAATTCATCGAATGATACCTGAATTAACAACTATTGGACGAGAAGTTGAGCAAGGTTTGTTGTCAGATAGCATTCTCAGGAACGCTCCCGATATATTTCCCGCCATTTTATTTGTTTTCAAACAAATAAAATAGTCGGCCTCATGGAACACGTCTTCACCTTACAATTCAGAGCTCTGACGTAGTCTTGTATATCTGCTTTTTCCTGCCCAAACAATGGTCAGAAGATAAATCCTTTATCAAGATAAATATTCAACGCCCCGAGCATGACCCACTGGAGATGGGAACTGATAACCAGAGTGAGCGACCTCAAATTAATTGGTTTAAATGAAACGCGCTGAGAACATTTCAGAATAAAGAGTAGCGAGATAAAACATGACGTTTCGGCGACGACATGTCACCATTATCAAATGCAAATTATTATGCGTTGGGTAACGTTATATATTTAAAAGAATATAGACTGAGAAAATACATTATAATAAGTGAGTGAGTGTTCAGAGTCGGAAAGTTTGAGTGCCTTATTTATGAGATGCTTTTTATAAGGAAAAAAAGTCCGACTCTGAACACTCAAAATGCCTCCATTCCAGCGAAACTTGTTATTTAAATTTTTCTCATTCTTTTGCTTATCCCCGCCTCATTTATTCTAATGTATTTTCCCACTCTATATTCTTTATATAACGTTAACCAACACATAATAATTTGCGCTTGATAATGGTGACATGTTACCGAAACGTCATGTTGTTATCTCGGTACTCTTTATTGTGAAATGTTTTTCCAAACCCTTCGTTATTAGAACTCTGAGAGCAGAGACGGCAAATAATAATAATAATAATAATAATAATAATAATAATAATAATAATAATAATAAAAAATGAAATTAAAAAAAAAAATGGGCTCTCACGAATCTTTAGATCTATTCATCTGTTCAGTTCATTTGTCGGTGCCAAAAACTGTCCACAGAAACAGCTTTCGGCGGAAATTGCACTTCTGTGGGTCACGTAACTCTACAACCTTGCTCGCACGGCAGTAGATCTTCTGCCCTGTTCATTATTGAACCTTTCGGCGACCTTCCCGTTGCAGTCGTGGTTTGCTGAAACTCCGTGATACTGGACACTTGCCATTTCCTGGTTCGACTAAACAAAGACACGTATTACTGTGAATTTCGACACAAATAATTTCGGTTTTCCACAAAAATCTTCTCGGCAAACCTGAAATCATTTGATTCTATAACTCGTCTAGTCGTTTGCACGTTTTTCATCCTTCTTCATGTCCCACGCATTATGAGTGCTTTGCTTTACAGTGACATCAGTTGATCGTATTAAGTGCCACTTCTTTGGCTGTGTCACACCAGTTTGACAATAATCCCTTTATAAACGGGTTGAGTTGACATATGATTCACAGAATGTTTATATGTCAGTAATTTCTTAACGCAAACATGATAACGAGCCAAGTTTGTCCCTCGGAGTTGTGTAGAATACATACATGTTTTTTAAAAATTGAAAAAAAAAAAAAAAACCCTTTTACTTTGTGTATTTATTTGTTGTTTTAACATGACCTTTTTGGATACTTAACCGATACAAAGGCGGCATTGGTACTTGGGTTTCCTGACAATTATTTCAGATACGAATTTGCATGACAACGTATTTCAAATTGTGATAATCTTAGAGCTTGTCATATGCACAAGCAAAATTGAAAACGAAACGTGCCTTGTAATCAAGATCTAACTATTGAAATTATATGTGACATTCAACCTTACAAGTTAACACAGCAAATTATATTCTAATAGTGTCAAGGTATTTACGTTTCTCTTGCGACTATGAATTTCATTTATGATGCTTGCTATATTTTGTTTTCGGGTTGAAGCAATCCCTTCCATATTATGAGAATGCTGATAAAGGTTATTGATTTAGTAACAGAACACTTCATGCTATCTTTAAGATTGTCAAACATTTCATAGTACGTGCTAAGTTGACACCCCTGCCCATCTGCCCAGCAATACCCTCCCCCCGGACTCCGGCTACATCTCCCCAAAAGTTGTGAAGTGATTAATGAGTAGTGTTTGTTCTTCTCAACAAATATTATAACAAATATACACACTGAATACTTAGTGGTGAACCCTGTTTTTCAGCACAGGCTTAATAAACTTCGATGTTCTCGCTATGTTTGTCTAGCGTTAACAGGAATCGCCTATTTTCTATTTCTCAATTGTAACTGTTCACACCAAGGCTCGTTAAATTGTGAAGACAACCCTACCAACTGGAATTCCCTGACGAACTTTGCTTTATTATTAAAGGCAAGACAATATGGTTACAGCCCGTGAAATTACTGGGTAAACCTTAAAAAAACTCACAGCAACTGCGAGCCACTTAATAAAGTAAACATGATAGATTTTGCAGATTATGTCCTCAGTAACACGCTATTTTTGGAATAGGGCCTGTTGCAACGTGGAAGAGAACAAAAGATTGCAACGGAGTAAAACAAAACAAAATGGCGTTTTGAGACAATTGTGGGTGAGCGTTTGTTGCGTGTTAGCTTGTTATATAATTAAACGTTTTGATGACAGAGAGAGCCCAAAGTACCCTGCTACGCTTGACAGCACGACATGCAACACCACAACATATTTGAACTCAATCCTACCTTGACTCGCGTTAGTAGAATTCATTGCTATTATTCCTTGTGTGCCAAAATTTTACACAAAAGAATGAACTCTGCACCAGAACAGGCTGAACTAGACGAAACACAGACACAATGAACTCTGACTTTGCACTGATACAGCAAAATTTCTCGTGTTCCGGTTGCCTTGTGAACGTTTATGTTAATTTTAAGGTCAACAATGTGGGATGCAAGATAAAAGGGGCTTCCCGCCGTCACGTAACAACTTTTTAATTTGTTTTATCGCAGAGTCGGCTAGGAAAACAAGCAGTGGAAAACTAGGAATAAGGATTTGAGAATTCGGCTTTCAATATTGTAATAATTTAACACTTCATAAAGGATGGTACTTTGAGTTATTTTGGTCGCGCACAAATTCCCCTTAAAATAGCAGTTTACTAAGATAGAAAAACACCAAAGAGAGAAGATTAAGAGAAGATTTGCACTAGGATTAGAAACGACAGACCCAAACAAACAACAAAAAAACAAACAATCAAACAAAATTAAAGAACAACTACAACAAAAAGATATACTTTTTGCGACTGCAGCCTGTTCAATGTACATAAATGCGAATTGTACCAAAATCATTGATAAGAGGCTTAAAATAACCTTCCCAAGTGTTACCAACTTAAGCAAATTAATTATCTCACCAAATCAAAGACTGCAAACAATGCCTTTTTATCTGTCGAGATATGCCAGCCGAGATATGATACGAGCACGTCAGGGTTACGATTTGCCCCGGTGAGCTTAGCCTAAAATATAGCTATTGTTCTGCAGTACACTATAATTTAATTTTAACAGTGCATTCACAGACCAATTTGTTCAAGTAGATGGTATTTGTCTTGAACAAGGCGCCTTAAGGAAACTGTTGTCATAGCCAACAGTTTTCATCGGTTTAAGTTTTTACATATGGGGGGCGTGCTATTTAAATAAACATTCTTTGTTCTGGAATTTGTGCAACATCGGCACTGCCTAAGGCGAAATTATATTTTTTCTGTCGCCGTTTATGTAGGGGATACCTTGATCCAAGGAATTTACAGAGTGCCAGGAAACCCCTCTATAACCCATTAACTCCCTACTCCGCACGCGCTAGCAGATTGCAGACAGTCATATTTTCAACTATTTTTTTTGCTGAAGATGCCATAAACAACAGAATAGTCGTGCTGCAGCCGAACGCAACAGACATTTTTGCGAGGGGGCGGGGGTACTCATGCAGTAGTGCCTTCACTCTCATTGCATTCATTATGATACAACTAAGGGACAGCTCATGGTAAAAATCAAATTAATATCTGCCCGCTTGAAAAACAAAACAGCACAAATATGATTTCTCCCCCGTCGTACCATTTGGCAGGCTATCGCAATGCTCTTATCTCCAGTCGATAAATGATCCACGGCTCCCCTTCTCCCCCGCGGGGTACTCCCTTATATGGGCTATATAGGTATGTGCGGCCCCAAAGGGTAGGGTTTTTCAGCCGTTTTGGTAATAAATAGGGTATCGCTTTTGGCCATTTTGGTCTTAAATAGGGTATGGTTTCAGCACTCTAGTCTTGAATTGGGTATATCCTTAGAAGAAGCTACCTTTTCTTCTTTATCGATAAAACCGCCAACAAAAGACCTTCATAACTTATGTTTGGGGCAACTATGTCAGCCGCAAAGGTCATAAATAGGCTATCGAATTTTTGGACAGGTTATAAATAGGGTAGCAAAAAACGCTGATTTTGGTCATAAATGGGGTAAGGGTTTTGAGAAGTGGGCCACACATCCCAACCCAACTTTTTCTGGAAGTACCCCCCCCCCCGACGCCCGGCCCTTTTCCTAGCTAGGAATGTATTTGGTTACTTTTTGGCGATGTTTTTTCAAACATTTCAAAGGACGCGGATCTGAGGGGCACTTCCAGGCAGACAGATGAATGCAAGCAATGAGAAGAACACAAAAAATAAATAAACATAAAGGCTCGAGTATGGCCCTTAAATTTCAAGGTGATATACCGAGTTCTCGTTTTAAGATTGTTTTTGTTTGCCTACTCTCTTTTTCTATTTTTAGCGTGAAGATGAAAAACCCGATCATGAAAAAGAGATGGGTGCGTTAAAAAAAAAAAAAAAATGCGTTGCCTTTCACGAGTTTCTCTTAAATACACACCCTGATTTTCTAGGTCGAACAACAAACTCATACTCAATTTCAGAACAGAATGAAACATTTCTGACCATTCGCCCGCCGAGAAGATTTTATGTGCCTATACATACCGCCTTTTGACATACAGTCCCCTTAGAGAAATCTCATTTTCTTTTTTTTTTTTGAAATAATTTCCTCGTTTCAGAGTAACATTTTGGTACAGAAGGCAACACACCAGGAGCCCAGCAGAGATTTCTTTAATCTTTATTGTAGATTAGTAGGTTCTGAAGGGTGGATCTCTGTGGCTTGGAAGAACTACAGTAATCACGGCGATAAAAGCTTGAAACAAAACTAAATGTTCGCAATACTGACGCTGATCACAACTGAAATCGAAACCAATTTTTAGTCCTAAAACAAACTATTCATGAGCTGTCATACAAAAATTCCCGACGAAATTCACAGGAAAATAATCACGCTTGTTCAGTAATCACCCATTGTTCAATGTCATGTAGTCTTTGTAAACCACGGGCTATTCGTGTTCTTAAATTACGCAACTAACGTCCAAGAGCTTTTCTCGGCCCTTCCTAGCTCAGTGATAGACCATATTCGTATTCCCGGTATTGGACTGGCACTAGCTTGAAACTGAGGCTGATGGTGGGAGTCTTTTCAAATGCAAATGATATTCCTCCGTGTGAGCCTCCATTGCAAGCTAGTCCCAGTCCAATACCGAGAATACGAGTATCTGCTGTCTGATCACTCTGCAGTGAAACGAAAACAAAATAATTTCTAACTTAGTATAAGTAAGAAAACATTAGTCGTATAGGAGGGGGCATCTCGTTTATTGATCAGACATAAATTGCCCTAGGATTGTTATCAACACAATAAACGTAGTAGACAAAAACAAGGAAATTTACTAAAACAGAATTTCCAAAATGAACTGATCAAAAGCGGAGATGTCGTCGAAGTGACAACTCCTAACGGACTAACTCCTTAAATATTAACTTCTTAGCATAAATACGTAACCTGCATATCAACGAATCTACATACCAGCACAAAACTATCTTACAATAACAACGTGAAAAATTATATTTGTTGTCTAATCACTCTGCAGTGAAACGAAAACAAAATAATCTCTAACTTAGTATAAGTAAGAAAACATCAGTCATATAGGAGGGGGCATCTCGTTTATTGATCAGACATAAATTGCCCCATTTCGAAGATAAAGCACAGTTTAAAGAGAATTATAGACCTAGGGAACGAGAAACTGCAAGAAGGGAATTGATGTTGTCTTTAACATAGCCGTCCTTTGCACGATCCGATTTCCAACGACCATGTCGTTTAAACAAACGATCGCTGATGCTAGCATTCGCAGCGGCAGAGGCACCATGCACCTGATCTTAAGCTATGCAAACCATAGCTAGACTTAGGAAAACCTAGTTTAACTAAGGAATTAAGCAAAAGCTCCCTAGCTCTGGTATAGGATATAGGTCGCGAACCTAAAGAATAACAAAGAGTGGACTTATGATAAACAAGGTTGCGAAATACAAAATCGCTAGAATTGCAGTTCAAAGCAGCGAGATGAAAATAACGAGAAATTATCGTATAGGGACAAGTGACAGCACCTGTCCGAGCCAAAAGAACTGAGGAACCAGAGAGGCGGATCCAGGGGAGGGGTTGAGGGGGTTGCAACCCCCCCTTTGAGCAGCATTTTTTTTGGTTATTTTGTTTGATTCTTCCTAAAAATAATAGAAAAAAGTTGTTTTTTACAAAGTTGTTTCACTTCCACCATTCGACTGCTTTTCAAGTTTTGAAAAGATAATGTACATTTCGCGACTACTGTGGAGGATATTACTTGCAAGAAGGTCGTATCAGGATCGCGTCATCAGACAGGATCAGATGAAACAGGCGACATGAACAGGTGAAATTCATTCAAACGTAAACGAGTGGGATTGGGACCAAGCGAATGTTTCAGTATTGTTGAAGTGTGTTCAACGTTGGACGGAAAATGAAGAAAGTAACAGATTTTTATACAAAGAAATCAGGTAAGTTCGTGGTTCTTTTTCAAAAGAAGTCGTTTAATTTAATTCTGTAACACCAATAACTACTTTCAACAGCCAATAGCCTCGACATACCGTGCAATTCATAAACAAAGTGCATTTTCCATCGGACCGCCATCTTGAAAACTGCCTAGCAAGAAAATCATTTCTTTCGAATATAAACATTTTGCAGGTTCAGCCCAATCAAGGTCTGAAGAATTCGCGAGTAATAATGAAGGTATTAATGAAGGTAAGCAGAAATAAAATTGTCATTAAACGGAGACAGATACAATGAAATTTATCATGATATCTTCACTAAGTGAACTGTCATGATAAACACAGAAAGAAGCTGTTCTGCTCCTCCTAACAAGCTACCAAAACTCGGCAACTCAGACGATCAAGCTGGAGTGTCCGGGATTGCTTTTCCAAACATCCATCGTCTTCTGCTCATTGCGTGCACCCTACCAATCAGTAGTGCGGAAGCTGAGCGGTCCTTTTCGCTCATGAAACGGATCAAAACCTGCACCAGATCAACGATGTCTGAAGAGCGCTTTTCAGATCTCGCTGTTATTGCTATGCATTACCCTGAGAGATTCGAGGTAGACGAGATATGCGAGGCCTTTGTAAAAGCTCATCTTAGAAGACTATTTCAGGCTACGTTGTTTGATTAATGAGGTATGTAGAGAAACGGCAAATAACTATTGATGATACTGCTGTCCCTTTCAATCATGCATTATTATTTCTGGGTTCCTGGCTGAGAAATAAGATAAATTCCAGATTTTATATCATGCCTTCACAACTCTTTTGAAGTCTCGGGAATGCTGCAAAAGGCGTTTTAAAAGGAAAAATCGGAAACATTATTTTTTGGGGGGAGGGACATGGCTCCGGACCCCTTAAGAGCTCGTGCCAGAGGCACGGGGCCGTAACTCGCCTTCCACACCATTGGCGTTAAAGGTTACTACAATAGTGTACAACCCCCCCTTTCAGAAACTCCTGGATCCACCCCTGTATATGGGTGACCCCAGCAAAACAATTCTTGGCTTGCACTGTCACGCAATCCTGATGCAATAAAAAAATTATTCAAAAACCATTTACTGGATAAGTCAAGAAACTGTGATGTTATAGGAGATTAATAAAGATGACACCTCTCATTTTAAAGTCTCTGCGTTTTCTCACACCTTGGATATTCGTGGAAATATTTTGCACAAATTAACAGAGCCCAGTGTGGAGCCGCCATGTTGGTGTACTTCTGTGGTACACCAACATTGCGGCCAGAAAATAGTGTAAACATCTGGAACTTACTTTGGCTATCTAGGCGACTGGTTATCTGTAC